CAAGCAGCTGATGGCGTGCGCGTTTTTCGTTCCATGGAAGCGGCGATGCCTGGCTGAAGCACGGCACAAGCCGGAAAGGGCAGCCTTCCCAGCGGTTGCGAAGATCCGCCAGGTTCTGTGGCGGTTCCTTTACGAGCAGCGCGAAACCAACGGCGAAGATAAGTTCCTGCGCCGCTGGCACACGAGGTTTTTTTTAATACAGAAGGGAAAACTGCGCCTGCCAGTGACCCTTTTTGAGGGCACTTCACTGCCCTCACGCCGCTCAAGAAACTAAACGGCGGTGGCACTCTGGCCTGATCTTCGCCCACTGGGCACTCAGTAAAGCAGTAAAGGACCTCTCCATCATTGCCCCCCCCAACCATTTTTTTGCAAGCAGCCGTGCTTGTTGTCTTGCTGAACACATTTATGCCTTGTCAAGCGAACATGTTTTTAGTACTCAGTGTGTGAGTGCACCCCCCCAAAAAAACTAGTGCTTATACAATTTTAGGGTGGCCACCCTTCCCCGCAACCCCGCCTGAGAAGACAGTGTGCGCTCCAGAAATGTCATTGTAAATAAGCGCACAAGTATGTATCCTGAGAGGTTTTCCCTATGCATGCTACAGCGGGGATGCACACCTTTGTTGTATAACAGTGTATATATGCTATGTATTTATTTGTTGATATGTATGTATTCTGTTGTATATGCAGTGAGGCACCGAAAAGACGGGTCCCTTGCATTAACACGTACTTTTTTAAATTTTTTTCTACTCATTTGTACAAAATGGATACGTTTACATATATATAGGCAGTGTAGCCGTGCATCTCTATACCTTGTATCTGCGGACTGATGTATTTTCTGTTTCTTTTTATGCACGACGTCAATAAAATTTCCTTTGCATTGGTGGCTTGACCCCCCTGCACTCCCTGATCTTCGTAGAGGCCACCGGATACCCACCCGGTTACAGCGGAGTCTTTCTCCCTCGCTCCTACCAACCCCCTGTCCACTGCTGCTAACGGATTCGGCTGCCTCCTGCTGCCTGCCTGCTGCCTTGGTGTTGCTGCCCTGGTCTTGCTGCCTTGGTCCTGCTGCCTTGGTCCTGCTGCCCCAGGACCTGCTGCCCTGTCGTGCCTGCTGCTTGGTCCTGCCTGCTGCCTGCCGTCTTGGTCCTGCCGCAGCCACACTCGTGGGCCTCCCTGGCCCTGCCATGGTCACCGTCGACCACCCCGTCCTTGCCGAGGCCGCCTGGCCCTCACGCCTAGCGTGGCAATGAGGTCATGGCATCCGGGGGTCCAACCTTGGACTCCAGCGAGGATGACGGCGAACCCCTTGGCAGGAGCGCCAGCCAAAGCGCAACGGGGGTACACTTGTCGTGTACTTCCCCGTGCCTCCTGCCATCGAGTGCTGCGAGCCCGGCTGCGGGGTCACTTACAACCCGGCCACATAGACCTCTCGGCGGCCGTCCCTGGAGCAGCACCTGCAGGCGGAGCACCGATCGAGAATAACGAGCACGTCGTATATCTGCTCGTTATGCGGCGACGTTCTTGGCCAAAGACCGATTACTCATGTCAACAAATGCCTGGCCAGCATCCCCACCATCTCCCCTACCCAGCGCTTCTGGCACCAGTGCCAAAAAGTTCCCAAGGTCCTTCCCTGCAAGGAAGGGCCTTGAGAAACATCAACAGCGGCACTTGAGGGAGGAGGCAAAACAGGCCAGGCAAAACGTCGCCGCAGGTGCTCCACCCCGACAGCCGCCCACCAGCACCACCGGCTCCACCAGCCCCCAACCGCTGGCCTCGCCCGGACGAGCCGCCACTCCGAGGACACCCTCACTGGTGGCCCCTTCTCTCTTGCAGAGTGGCGCCAGCTCTTCACCGGGCGAGACGAACCAGCAGCACAGGCCACCGCCTCATCCGCCCAAGCGCCGCCACAGGACCCTCTTCACAGAAGGTCCTGCCTACCCCCCTGCCAAGCGGCGTCGAGGATTCGGCGGGCGATCCAGCTGACCACCCGGCGGCACGACCGAGCTCCTCCTAAGACGAGTACTGCAGTCCTGCAGAGGAGGAGCTTCCGGAGCAGAATGCGGGGCGAGCCATCGGGAGCCCACCACCACCTTCTCCCGGGGCGATGACACCCCGCAGAGTCGACCAGCACAGCGGCAGCACGTACGGCACCCAGGAGGAAGCGGCCGCCACCGCGGGACCAGAGAGTGCCTGGCTGAGATGACGGTGGAGCTTCGGGCGCTAAGCCAGTTGCCCGTATCTGAGGAGGAGTGGGAGCGGTTCGAGACCACCCTGGACCGCGCAGAGGCAGCCATTGCTGACCACCTAAAGCTGCCAAAACGGGACTCGCGCCAAACACCACCTCGGCGCGAGATTTACTCCGATAACCCCTCCCAGATACAGGCTCTTCACAGGAAGAACCGGCGCCAGGCCGTCCGGCTGATTGCGGAGGGCACTTCGCAGCTCTGCCCAATAGACCCAGGCACACTTCATGGCTACTACACCCGCCTGTGGTCCCCGGCAGCAGTGGACACGACTATCCTCAGGACGCGAGCCCCCACCCACAAAGGAACTTGACCTTTGCCCCTTCATGGACAAAGAGGTCGCAGCCAAGCTGCGAAGGTGCGAAAGTACAGCTCCGGGAGAGGACCGCCTCACTTACCACCAGTGGAGGCAGGTGGACCCTGAAGGGCGGTACCTTACGGTGGTATTCAACGTCTTCCTCGAATAATGCCGCACACTCCGGAGCTGCAAGTCGATGAGGACGATAATGATACACGAAAAGGGCGACCACGAAGACCCCACAAACTGGCGACCCATTGCCCTTGGTCGAACGATCGCCAAACTGTACGCCGCGTGTCTCACCACCCGGCTGCAGCGGTGGTTGGGCAACCCTGCGGTACTGTCCAGGTGTCAGAAGGGCTTTTGCCGCACGATGGGGTGTTTGAACACAACTTCGTGCTGCAGGGACGCCTGGACGACGCCAGGATGGGAGGTGGGGAGCTATGCGTGGGGTTCCTCGATTACGCCAACGCCTTCGGTTCGGTCGCCCATCAGGCCCTCGTCGACGCTGTCCGTGGTGCCGGCGCGTGGAAGCCCTTCGCGGAGATTGTGGGGGACCTCTACCGCGCCAACACCACCTGCATCGTGGCAGCTGACGGAACCACAGAGCCCATCGCCATTGGAGCTGGCCTACGCCAAGGCTTTCTCCTGAGTGGCCTGCTGTTCAACCTGGTGGTGGACCCTATCATCAGAGCGGTGCAGGGAGGCGATAGGCAACACAACATCCCTGCCTACGCCGATGATCTGACGCTGCTCGCCGGAGATCCCGCCACCTTGCAGCACCGCCTCAACGTGGTGACAGCCTTTTCGGACACGCTCGGGCTGCGACTGAAGCCTGCCAAGTGCCACACCGTCGACCTGTCCGGGTGCTACCCGGTGGGCACACGGCCCACCACTTTCACCGTGGGGAGCGTCCCGGTCCCGGCACTGGCAGACTTCGAGGGGCACCGGTTTCTGGGGCGTCCTGTGGGGTTTCGGGTACTACCGGACCAGACGACGGTCGACGAGGCCACCAATTTCGGCAGACGGCTGCTCTCCTTCATGCTCACCCCATGGCAGAGACTGGATTCCATTAAAACCTTTTTGTGTGCAGCCCTCAACTTCGCCATGCGGGTGGCCCTTGCCAGCAAAGGAGAGTGGCATCGCCTGGACGAGGAGCTTCGCCCGCTGAATAAAAAGACTGTACGTGCCAGCCAGAGTGTCAAACGAGTATGTGTACGGGAGCGCACATGCCGGCACAGCAGGAATCCCTCTTGCGGCGGAGCTCAGCGACATCTGCCGAGTGGACGAAGCTTTCAAGCTCGTGTCGTCGACCTATCTAGAGGTCCGGATGCGAACGAGGGAGGAGCTCTACCAGGTGGTGTCGAGGCGGCTGAGGCGACGAGTGGACACAGACGGCACCGAGGCCTACCTCTCAGGCGAAACGGAGGGCGACTTCTGGCAGACTGCGACCCAGCTGCAGTCTGTCTGGACGGAGGCACGCAAAGCCTCCCGTCGCCTGTCCATCGCCTAGGAGCTTCTGGACCAGGGCGCCCGCATCACCTGCGGAGAGGCCACGATGTCAGCGCGGAACTGCAACAAGCTCATCAAGATCCTTCGGGTCATCCTCAACCAGGACCGGGACCGTTCTCTCCAGGAGAAGCCGTCCCACGGCAAGGCGATGGCGTGTGTAGCGGCGGACCCCGTCACTTTCCACTTCATGAGGTCCGGCCACTACACTCACTTCAAGGAGTGGCGCTTCATCTACCGAGCCCGGCTGAATCTCCTCCCCCTGAACGACACAAGAATGTTGGTTCCAGCAGCTGAGAAGAGGAGCCGACGCTGCCGGTACAGGGAGGAGACCCTGCCGCACGTCCTCTGCCACTGCATGCGGCAGAGCCGGGCCATGACGGAGCGCCACAACGCCTTGTTGCGTGCCTCAAGAAGGCGGCCTAGGAGAGGTTCACCGTCATCGGGGGAACCGGCAGGTCGGCGTCCCCGGCTTACGACCCGACCTCGTCCTGGCCCGTGGTGAGAAAGCCCTAATCCTGGACGTCTGCTCTATATTCGACAACCGCATGCAGGCGTTCTAGGAGGCTCGGAGGGTAAAGGTGGAGAAGTACGCTCCTCTACAGCGTCATCTCCTTTAGCGGTTCCCGCGCGTCTCCGTCGACGCCATCGTCGTTGGCTGCCTCGGCTCATGGAATCCGGCCAACGATCGTGTCTGCTGCAGATTTTGCTCCAAGAGCTACCAGCGGACAATGAAGAGACTTTGCGTTTCAGACACGATCGGCGCCTTTACGACGATATACCGTAGCCACATAGGCGTTTCGTAAATAGTTCTTTTAATCGAGAAGCGATATCACGTTTTTATGTTATGCACTTTTATTAATAATAACTCTACTAACACTTCCTAGCCTTTTTGTTACTGGATTTTATCTATGCACTTTTATTGCCATTTTTCGTTATCTTTTGTAACGTTTTCTGATGTGTGTGTTTACTAAGTGTCAATAAAAACTCTGTTCTTATCAGCTTAATATCTGATACGGATCATATTTGAATCCAAGATAATAAACTTATAATTGTGATGCGGCGAAGTGCTTCAACCTTGCTTCGCCTTCGCCACGGCTTGGCCCGGTATTGCACTACCTCCGGGATTGCCCCACTCACCCCTGCGGGGCAGAATTCGACGTTAAACTCAGTGAAAGAAAGAGTGTTCGGATTTCAAGAATATCAAGGTAAACAGCGTGGGTGCGGCGAGTGTCTGAAACGTTGGCGTCACGCCTCCCCGGCTGACGCGGTATTCGCGGCGGCTCGGTATTCGCGTGCAGGGAGTGCGCTAGCTGAGTTCATTCACATTTAGGATTGCTCTGGGAAAATAAATGTTTGTACGGAAATTTCATAATTGGGCAGCCCTTCTTTTTTTGGTTATGTTCACACGTACATACGCCAAGTTTTTTTAAACAACGCTACTCATATTAATAAAACTATTGAGTAATTTATTGTTACTGTTTCAGAGGAAAATAGAAGTGTGTAGATGCCAAGCTATATCCCCTTTTTTTATTCACAAATTTCGGAACAAAAAATAAAACAGCCTCTAGAAAATGGCTGTTGGTGTTTCTGTTTACAGTTGCAGTGACAAGCGAAGGCATTTTTATTTCACATCTTGACGCGACGTCTTAATCTGAAGACGCGTGCTTTCCTCCCGTCTACGCATCTATAGTATTCCCCATCACAAATTAAAATCGCAAAGAACGCCACAGGACTCAACCCGCACACCCCTGCTGTACGATGGAGTGGCCAAGCTCCGATGTGCTTTTCCTGTGGCCACTGACCTGGGTCCCAGCTTCCACCAGCGGTAGCTGTAATTCGTTGCCACGCGGTCAGCTGCCTCGCTGGCACCCTCAGCCATCGCCTTGATGACGGCATGATGATATGTGTGGTTTGACGTCCCAAAACCACCATATGATTATGAGAGACGCCATAATGGAGGACTCTGGAAATTTCGACCACCTTGGATTCTATAACGTGCACCCTAATCTGAGCACAAGGAAAAACAGCCGCCGCAGCCGGAATTCGATCCCACCACCTGCGGGTCAGCAGCCGAGTACCTTATAGCCACTAGACCACCACGGCAGACATCGCCTTGTTGATCACACACTACATTTCTGGACACCATCTCATACCAGCTCATCCGCCGTTGGCTCTCGTTAATTACAACAAACATCCTCGCACGCTCAACTGAATGGAATTGCCAGTTGCTGGAAGTTCCAAGAAAATTGCGCTTTAGACGTACGGACGCACCACGCACGTACCTGAAGCGCTGTGGAACCGAGGACGCGAAAGATGACGCCCTGGGCGCGCTTTGCTGTGCTTGGCCTCTGTACCCACTCATCACTCCTCACAGCTTCAATAGGCCGAATTTGTAGAAGTCGAAAAAGCAGAACAACAAACCGGGAAATCCCCCACAGTGGGTGTGAGCCACAAGAGAAGCTCAACAAAAACAAGCAACACCAGCGAGCGCAGTGACGAAGCGATGGTAGTGGGGCAAAATCATCCACGATTATGGCTGCACGGTGCCTCACGGTCGCATTTGTGCAACCACCCGTCTCCCGAAGACCGTCTGTCGCGAGTATTCTCGCACCTTACTCAGCGGAATTCGATGAAAAGCGCAGGCGAGTACTTCTCCACTGATTTCCGCGACCACTTGACGACCGCCTTCTGCCGCCTCATGTCCGGCACGATCGACGGAGCGCCGCGCCAGCACCTCAAACACGCCACCATAGCAGTCCTACCCCTCGCAATCAGCAAAACTTGGACGTTTTCGACGACGACAGGCAGAGCCTGCCGGCCCGTTGAACGCTTGAACGACATCACAGCGGCATGTCGCACATTCGTCTCCTTCTGCCACAAGACCCTTCATTCACCGGCATCACAACGCACGCTGTAGACGTTTTGCACGCATTTGCGGGTCTGCCTGTCACGGCAGGACCTCCGTCGACTCCGGTACAGTGTTCCGCCATGTCGGAACTTGCAAGGCATACGTTAAGCGCGCTGAAGCTGCCGAAGGCACCACCTTTTTGCCGACTATTGTGGGCATCGTTGCAGAGGCGTTGCTTGGGCAGCCAGCGTAGAAGCCATGTTGGATGGGTTACGTAGTCACAATTAACACAGTCACTTTTTTTCCTTCCAGGCATTGGTGCTCGAGTTGGACACGTAAACATTGCATCAGTTTTAAAAACAAGTGCTGTAGCATCTCTCGCGACATGCCTGATAATGATCGTCGGCAAGCATTTCGTGTGACGTCATGGGCGCAATCGAGAGTACGCATGCAAGCAAGCACGCGTGGCTTCGACCTCTGGGAAAAAGAAGGTTCCAGTTTATACAAGTTCGTAAGCGAAACAAGAAACCTCAAGCAGACTAGGGATAAAAGCAATGCAGTGAAGCCAGCGCTGCTGCTGTCGGTGCACATTCTGGTTTTGCATGGGTGGACGTCGGAATTGCTTTGCTTTTGTTTCCCCGGCATTTAGCGAGAACTAAATACGAGGTGTGAAAGAATGGATTTTAATTACGCGCAATTAAATTGCATCGCTTCTCGGCCTTTTGGCTAGACCAATTGTTGAGTTAGCCGTTTTCATTGCGTCATCGCGCAAGACCGAGGGTCAAGTCACGCTGACGTCGAGCCGGTTGTTGAAGTCTCCAAAGACTGTCTACGTGGCATCGCCGTCCCGCACGTGCGACCGCCACCCTGGGCTTCGGACCTCACTGTCCGGCGCCCACCCGTCCCATGCCTGGTGAAGCAAGGCCCCCGGTCCACGCCTGCCATCCCGGAGTCCTTCTGCGATCCACCCGGCGTCTCCTGTACCTGTGCGGCACCCACCTCCACTGAGCCGCCGTCTTACTAGTACGCAGCTCGCCTGCACGTGACCAGTTTTCTACCAGCCACGCCCCCTCGCAGCCAGCGGCACGTGCACCAGAATTGCACGTCCGACCACCTCAATAGGGAGAATCGCTTCATGTTCATGGCGCCCGACGGCAACGTATCGATCGATGATTTAATCGACGCGATCGAACTAGTGTCTGGGATGACAGTGTACTTGTCCTTCAGCACATGGGCGGGGCTAGGTTCCTGTCTGCACGCGTAACGCCAGTCAGGCGACAAGATTAATGGTGGCGGAAGGCTTCCGGGTTAACGGCGAAAACGTACCGGTTGAGGCCGTAGGGCCGCCAGTCACGTACGTAAATGCCTACGGTACCCCGCCTACTTGTCCGACGAGGTACTTAGTAACGCCCTAGCTCAGTACGGCAAAGTGAGGGGCATATCGTTCGCCACTGTGGCCACACGCCAAAACAAGCTCAACGACGTAAGGGTGGTAAAGATCGAGATGAGCAAACCGGTGCCAAACTTCGCGACTATCGCAGGGCACCGTGTAATGTTCGAGTACCGCGGTATGAGGCGAGTTCGCGCACGTTGCGGCGAAGTGGGCCACATGGCGACCGCCTGCTTCGCTCTTTACTGCAAACGATGCGGAACCTTCGGGCACAATAACGAGGGTCGTACAAGTGAATGTAAGCGTTGTGGGGGTCACCACGGGACGAGAGAATGTTTTCGAAGGCAATCCTACGCGTCGGCCGCCCGCGGGTTCCCCTCGACTTCAGACCACGCGTTTAACCCTGCCCCACCTGGTGGCTCACTATCGCCCCGGCCGGATAAG